ATATTTAAATAAAAAGGTCTTAAAATAATATTTTATGAACACTTTAATTTTTACTCTTTATTCAAATATCAAACCAGAGTTTTAGATATGTTTTAAGAATATATTATCTAAAAATAAAAATAAAGTCTATAATCTAAAAAGTTATTTAGATAATAAAGCAATTAATTTAGTGACTAGAAAATAAATAACTATAAAATTTAATAATATTAGAATAGAATATATTAATCTAAATAAAGCTCAAAATACTTGGCAAAAAGCTATACAAGTATTATAATTATTGATAATGATAAAATTTTAAGCCTTAAAATTTGTAATTTATACTAACTAAATTAAAAAACAGTTTGTAAAGTTAAATTAGAAAATTAAAAAGAAAAGCAATAAAGCTTTAAATTAGAAAATTAAAAAAAAAGCAATAAAGATTTAATATTATTAAAAAAAATAAATAATGCAAAGTTGTTTAGTGTTTTGAGAGTAGACTTGTATTGTTTAATTAGCAAAATTTATTGTGTTAATAAATAACTTGTAAAATTAATTATCAAAATAAAAATTTTTTCTAATAATACTTTGCTTTTAACTTGTATATCTTATATGATATGAGATATATAGGAGATTTTAGTAGAATTAGATAAATTGTTTTTAGTAAGTTTTTTTAAACTTTAAATTATAATATCTTAACAACTATTATTTAAAAGTTCTCCTTCTCTCTTATCTAAACTAGTAATAATTTTAGTAGACAAAATAATTTATTTCTAGTTATAATAGAAAATTTAGAGGTATTATATCACACAATAGTGTAGTTATAAGAATAATATTAGTTAGTTCTATATTTATGTTTGTTTAATATATAATTTCTTTTATAATATTAATAAAAAAAAAAACCAACTATTACTCATTACAATAAATATATAATAATTCTATCCAATTAGTTCTATTTGATCTTACTATACAAAAAAACAATATAGTCAACTCTCTCTAAGTGCAACCTCTCTAAGTGCAACTTCTTTCTAAATGCAATTAAATAGTCTGGTTCCATATTGAGACTTATAATATAAATACAAGTTCTTTATTCTCTAAGTGCAAGTTTTTTTTTAGCCAGTATATATAAAATTATTTTCTCTAATTGCAAGATATTTTATTAACCAATTATTTAATTAAAGTTTTTTTTCTAAGTGCAAGATATTTTTTTTAACTTATAAACTTGCATTTAGAGAAAATTAATTATATATTAATTTAGTTTTTTTTAAATACAAGTTCTTTTTAAATGCAAGATATTTAGCTAGCCCGTTGACTTGCACTTAAAGAAAGTTGACTATATTGTAGTACTAAGTACTCTAAATCAAGTTATAATTGTGATCTTATTACTATTATATATATATATATAAGCAATATGAAACCTTATATCAAAGCAAAAAATACTGCTAATTTAATTAAAATTTCATACAATAATATTGAACAAATAAAATCTAACAATAATAGTTTTTTTTTAATTATAAGGGTGTAGCATCCGCATTTAGACTTTATTAATATTTAAATGATTTAAATGATTGTTATATGATAGTATATATATATATATATTATTTCAAGTACTAAGACTAGGACATCAGGTATACAAACCATTTATCCATGGCTAAAATCCATCAGAGCCACTATATTTCTACTACACAGCTGATTTGGATTTGTATATCCTCTCCAATTGCCAATTAGTATTCACATGTCTACCACATTACCCATATTACCTACTCTTTCAACTCCCAAATTGGTGTATATAGCTCCAAGTAGATGCTTGTTGCTTCTGGTTTGGTGTACCTGACAGGGAATTACTCTTTTAGTTCTTACTGGCATACTTCTAGGAGTTCATATCTCAAGCCATGCAGCTGCTTCTACCCAATCAAATAAGTATCTCAAGCCTGCATGCTACTGCAACTAGCTAGTTTTTTGCAACTTTGAGACCCAGGTTTTAATGTATCTATTTTGGTAATTGTGCTAATGACTATACTTCCCAATATAGTGACAAGTTCCTAGATATGTTTCGCAGAATACTTCTAGTAGTTAATATAGTTGAGTGGTATTATAAGACTCAAAGTTAACAGGTGTGTCATCGTTTTATGATAATTCTCAGCAGTGTAGCCCCCGATTACTACTGCATGCATTTATATTAGCTATATTTTATTGGTGTTCCCAAGTTCTCTTAATACCCAAAGACTCCTATATGAGTACGACCAGAGCTCATTGGATTTATCAACATATACATGTCTCCATGCTTCAACTTTTTATTGGCCAGTGAGTTCTGTACTGCTAGAGGTGTTCCAAATCTAATAAGATCAACTCTTTACCAATGCTTTACCACAGGTTTCTTTGTATCACCACATTTCTTACCACTTTTCAATTCTGGTTACGCCTGGTCATCCTTCCAAACAAGATTCCCAATGCCACCTTAGAGGTTGTTGGTGCTATCTTGCCAATCGCGAATTTATATGTATAACCTTTGTGTAATAAAACCTTCTATAATAGCCCTATTACACATAGTGCCAACTACTTCACAATAGACCTCTTTCCAGAAACTCTAATCTAGACCTGTATTTACTTAGACTTCCTACAACAGATATTTTCAAATATTTATAAATAAATATACCTACTAGAACTTGAACCCAAAACCTGCTTGTGGAGAGTTGAATGCCTAGACCACTAGACCACAGGATCTCAACTCAATGCAAAAGAATTTTTACAATAACTAATCATAGAAATAATAATAATTTAAATCTATATACAATAATCAATAGAAAAAAAAGTAAGAGTACTAATAGTGCTCCATAGCTTATAAATTATATAGCTTCAACATTATATTAGTAACTTTTTTTTTTTAAATATTAAAAGGTGAGGCCTTGCTTATATATAAGTAAATACAAAGAAACAAAACTAAATAAAGACTTAATTCATATATAAATGAATAAATATAAACTACATGCAAAAATAAAAGTTCAGACTAATTTATTTGCAACCTAAACCTACTAGAGTAGTAAAGACTCATCTAGATTTGAATAGTTAATATATGATTAGTAGAAATACTGAACTGGATCCACAAAGTGGACCAGATATTAAATTCATATTTAGCTAGCCTAGCTGGGAAGCAAGAAAAGGAATCAGAATGTAATTGATCAGATAAGTTGATATTAGTAACTTTTTTAACTGTATAAACAATATATCAACACTTGGTTTAACTATACACATTAGACTTCAACAACTTTAAACCAATTTTTGGTCTACTACTAGTATTTTTCAATACTCTAACTTCTAATAGATGGCCCCAACAGACATACTACTACATTTAAAATCATGCAACTTTTTAACTCTCTTAGTATATTTATTTATTCTAGCCCTAATCTCTTTTGGCTACAAACCACATCTGGTAGTAGCTCTTCTCTTAAAAATATTCTTTCTTACTATTCAAATATCATACTTTTATACAGCAACTTTGTCACAAAAATATTTTCTTTCTTAAACAATTATTCTCTGCTAACAATAGCATACTACTTGATTGGTCTATCTAGAAAATACTATCTTGTCAAATTTCTTCTTTTATACTATTATTATCTCATTTCAACCTTCTAGACTTAACTCATTTGCTTATTATACTAATTTAATTAACAAATCTTACAAGCTCTGAGTTTTACCTGCCATAATAATATTATTATTATTGGTTAAGTTCGCAAAGTCTTTTATTAATCTAACTCAATTCTATTACTCACTAGCAACATGATATTAATACTTCTTCTCAATTTGTTATTTTCTTTTTTCTATTACTTATAAGCCCTGCCAAAGCTATAATTTGGACTTCTTTTATATCTCTAATCACTGTATACTTGAAGTTTCTTCAATTCTTTAGAAAATTTAATAATTAACTCAAACTTAATACCAACTATATTGATCTTATTTATTCTACTACTTTTAAAAACCTACTATTAATATTGTAAACTCTCTTACTTTTCTATAACAATATTGCTTTAAATAATCTGTTCCAAATTGCTTTAGCTAATCAACCTTATCAACAGTTCATATTTTATACAGATAGCTCTGTTAAAAAATCTTAATACAAAGAAATATACTATGGATATTAGATGAGTTTAAGTTCACAATAACTCTATTATTCACAACTTCTCTGCTCAAATATATAACTGGCTCTTATTATATAAAGCTAAGCTCTTGCTATCCTCTCTGCTATTTCTACTCTTTCACACAATTCTTCTGTCAATATTTATACAAACTCCCAATCTGTAGTCTCCAAGTACAATAAGCTTTTCCAAACTTCTTACTCTACAACTAAATATTTTAAATTCAATTCTTGGTATACACTTATTAACTTAATTAAAGCATAAGGTAGATATGGGTATTATGGTGCAGTTAAATGTGCCAATAAGACAATTTTAATAAATTGACTTAAATATTTGTTAAATTTTAATAAAGTAAGTTTATTTTAACTTTAAATAAGTTTTTTTTTGTTTAAAAATCAAATTTTTTTATTAAAAAAAAAATTTTGTCTAAGTACAAAAAACTTACACTAGAAATCGTGATCGTCAAGTTAATGACCAATTATAGCACAAGACATATAATCAGATAGTACCACTTTTTTTTACACACTTTTTTTTTTAACCTGGTTTTCTTCTCTAATACATTGTTGTTCCACTTTCTAAGCTCTTTTTCTTCCTTTTTTTAGTTTACAAATTTCTTGTTTTTGCACCTTCTCAGTCTCCCATGCTACTCATCGTTGGGTGGCTAACTCTTTTTTTTGCTTCTTTTTGTTAGCTATTTTTTCTGCTTGTTCCTCCACTTCTTTCAACAAATGCAGCGATTCTTTGTCAGTAAGAAGCTAAGAAAAAGGCATAGTCTTTCGCTTTTTTCTTGGCTGCTGATTTTCTGCCTGTCTTTTTTCTGGCTCTGGTTTTTCAGTTTGATTTGAACAATGATCAGTTTGATTTGAACGATGCTGCAATGGTACTTAAGCACTAGCACAAAGGACTAGTACCAGGATTTTTATAGAGTTCCAGTTTTGATTCCAAACGTTCAACTCTATTATTAAGTAATTTAATTTCTGACCATAGTTCTTTATTTGTAGAAGTTGGGTCAAAATAGCTTGGAGCACTAGATGAAGAGGAAGTTAGTGTAATAGGTGGGTAAGTAGGTTGTTCAAAACTCTGTAGGTCGAGTCTATGTGTTGGCATTAAAGGCTCTAGACAACTAGGATCAATGATATCAGGATTGAAAGGCCATATTCCCATTGCTTTAAAAGAATTGCATATTGCAGTGGGGTAAATGCCTTAATATAGGCTTGTCCAAGAATTTTGGCGAACGTGTATTTTGTAACTAATTTGCCACTACTATTAGTATGGTACTTGTCACACTCACTGCTATATGCTTTTTTGAGATGGGCAAAAGGTAATTCAGCAGGTTGTAGAATGTGGGTCGTATGTGGTAGAAGAGCATAAAGAAGAATGTTATTTTCATAACAGAAATTGACACAGGTGTAATTAACGTAGCTCTTGTGTCTGTCAAGAATGAGTAAAACGGGATGAGGAATAGATCTAATGAAATGCTCTATATATTTTTTAAATAGACACTTCTGTATATACTCTGTATTGGTAAACCCCATAACAGTGCCTGCAGAAGCGCCATCTAAAAGACCTGGAATTATCCGTTTGCCCTTGTATATTATTAAGGGTGGTATGTATATTCTGGCCGTTGATATAGTTGGGCATACAGAGATATGTTCATGATTACTACTATATAAAACACAATGAATTTGATGAGCTTCCTTTTTTGCAATTACTTTTTGAAGTTGAGGCTCAATGACAAAACCTGTCTCATGCAAATAATGAACAATGTACATCGCCCGTAATGATTCGGTCACACATAAGGGCACAGAAAAAAAACAAAAAAAAACAAAAAAAACAAAAAAAAAAATAGACCTGTCTCGTCCATGTTCCAGATCTGATCAGAGGTAAGTAAATATTCGTTAATAATTTTTTTAAGTTTGTTAAAATGGTCATTGATTATAATAGGATTTGCTTTTTGGACACACATTTCATTTAGGGTCTATGGAACACAGAATGAAAGCTCTGGATGATCTCTTAAGAATCGTTTCCACCATGATTGACTTGGTCTGCTTTCATTAAAAGGATGTGGACATTTATCTCTACGAACAATTTCCAGTATACAAAAATTCACACCAGACTTGGATAATCTGAAACCAAGTCTCTGCATGTTTAAGTAGTAACTGACCAGCTGCTCTTCTTCATAATTAGTTAATACTTTTTTAGGGCCTGGATGGTTAAGAGGACCACCATTCAGAATAGCACATCTAAGGGTTGATTCTGAAATACCAAAATTATGTGCAACACTCCTTTTACTAGGAGGCTTAGGGTCATTTAAGGAGTCTTTTAAAAACTTAAGGGCTTCTTCAATTGTACCATTTTGAGTAGCTTTATCATTTTTATGCACCATAATTTAAAGTATTTTATTTTATTTAATTTTTTTGTAAATTTAAAATTTAAAATTTTAATACAATAATAAACTGGTATTTTGCATAACAAAGTAAAGAATGATTTAAAATTCGACCAATCAACAGCGCCAATTATAATTATGTGATTTTTGTCAAATTATGCTTCGCATATGCTATGCCAAAAATTGGCCAATTATGCATATCGCATTGCATCGCATGAAACTAAGGTCCCTACTGCGGATTGCAGATCATCTATTCGATCCGTTCAAAATCTGACGAATATGTGGATTGCAGATCAATCTGTACGAATAAGGATTTGACCTTGTATAATCCGGATGATCTGGATTTGAATGGATCACATCACTAGGTGATACAAACAAAAGAAAATAAAACAACAACTTCTTCTATTGATAATAATTATAAACAGATATTGATTACAAATAATAAAGAGTGAGAAGTGTTGCAACAAATTACAAATAATATCATTATTCAAATTCCCAATACTAGCAAACCAATCAATATCAATCTGAAGATTTCTTTCAACAATTAATTAAAATATTTCATAGTTTAATTAGGCAATAAATAGCATTTTATATGTAATTGACAATTTTAAACTATATATTTCACCAGCAGTATCAAATTTAATTAATATTTTCACAACTGTGTAATTCCAATTTTAAAAAAATTGCTTTTTGCTTATTCACACAGGTCTATATGAAAATCACATGATTTTCATATAGACTCATGCGAATAAGCTTTTAAAAAAGCATGAGTTGTTATATAAAACCCATACGATAAATATGAATAGAAGATATCATGATCAACATATGACATAGATTCACATGATTAGCTGCTAATCAGATATGATTTTTGGCTCATAGTATTTATCTCATAGTATTTATACCCAACTATATATTATATATTAGATATAATATAATGCAATAGTTTGTGTTCAATTTATTCTAAATTTTATATATGCATACACAGTATGTAAAGCATTACTATATTGGTATTATATAAGTTATTACATCTCTATACTTTTAATCATGTAAACAAATTACCAAAACAGTTTACATTAGGAAATTTTTAAATTGGTTGGCAATTGATTGACAGAAAGAAATATCAATTGATAAGCAGCATCCCTGCCGATTACTAGCGATACTAATTAGAATCGATTGAAAATAAAGCTGCTAATTAAAATCAATTAAAATTGCTTTGATTAAAATCAATTAATATTAAAACTAAATTAAAATCGATTGTTTTTTAATTGCTCATATATTAATTAGCTACCAATATTGATTATTGTCGATTTTTCTAATTGATAGCAATCATCTTTGCAGCTAGTAATCGATATCTACTTTATTTAAAAATTTCCTGATGTATATGAGATTCGTTATTACTATTAAAGATAAATGCCTGAGTAGCATGGAGGACTTTTAATTTTAATGATTTCTGGGATTAATATTACACAAGTATTTATATAGGAAGTATATTTTTTTAAGTACTGGTATATATATACATCGATCTTCCTTAGTATTACCACCAAAACGTTACAGTTATGTAACTATTGAAAAATTCTTTAAGTTTATTTAGATTAAGGTTAGAGTTAGGATTTGGGTTAAAGTAAATGAGGGCTATAAGTAAAATTGCTTAAGAAAAACTTTTTGTTAAAGCACTAAAGGTAGTTTCTTATACTACTTTTTAAAAAGCAAGCAATTTTTGACAAAGTAAATATTTGTTTTGAATTTTCCTGATAGTGTAATATTACACCTGATCTTGAAATCTGATTTGTTTACACCACAAAAATTGTCATGTGACTGTAATATTTTGGTGGCGATACTAGGGTAGTTACTCATAGGAGGACTTTTATATGATTGGCTGATATAAATTAATTGTCTGGGTAACTTATTTATACACTTTAAAGTACTTTTTAAAACTAATATTTCACTAATAAAAAATTGTTGCAAAAGTTATTATTAGCTTTAGACGAACATTAATATTCACCATGCAAAAGAATCCAAAAAGAATCCCACTTCTCACTTACTTTACTTAGAAGCAAATATTTTTACTATTTATTATAGTATTAGTTATATTAACTGTTCTAAATGCTGGAAACAGCCAACAAAAAAAAAAAGAAGATTGAAACATTATGCATAAGAATAAAAAGCTTATACTAATGCTCTTATTTTATTTATTTTATATAGTTTGAGAATATTATATAGTAAAACATAAGTAACTTCGGGTTAAGTAGTAGGTTGATAGTATGTATGGTATATGAGTATTATTGTTTCATTAATTATATAGACTAAAGGTCGTGTTGTACCTCTAATAAAGATTATTGTAATAAAATAAATCGAATTACTTT